TTGGTCACCATTGACTTTCATAGTAGGGTAAAAAATACCATGGAAGTAAATGGGGACCATCAACTGATAACCAGCATTCTTCAAATTTAAAATATCTTCTTTTTGATTTTCAACATAACAAAGAAACTAATATAGGTTTGGAAAGACATGAGGGTGAGTAAATGATGACAGAATTTTTGGGTGAACTATCCATTTAAAGTCATGATGACTGAAGAAGAGAAAGATCTGAACTTTTGCATTGTGACATACATCCACGTGAAAAGATTATCCAAAAAACCTTGTAGGGGTGGTGACTTGGTTCAATTTCGGCAGATTTTGAGCAGATGAAACAATTAGAGAAATCTGGCATGCATCAACAGAGAGAAGTCTTTCGAGATATTTCAATTAGACTGCGCTTGTCAAAGGAGGGGGCTTTGTTGAAAACTACGTGTTTGAGAGAGGCGGGGCATAGAGGACCTACTATAATGTACAGCATTTGAAAAATAATGTGTTTTTTGAACATTAAACCATGTCAACTTATTCTGTTACACCAAACACACAAAATAATGATATTTAAAATAGCATCATATGACCCCTTTAAACAAATATAACTTCCAGTTTTTCCAAGATGTGTAATCAATTATTAGCATTTTTTTAATAGCAAGTATTTTACAGCGTATTAAAAAAACTGGTATTATTAGATGTTGTTCCGAGTAATCTGTTAATTAATTGTGCTTCTCCACATCATAGTACGATGACAACAGAAATACAATTTAATGATATTATTGGGAAACACTGTATTGCCATTTCTACATAAAGTATGTAGGTTGTCATCACCAGTGAAGTACACACTTTCAGTGCATAGCAGAGGCAGTGTTTTTTTTCTGAGAGGGATCAGGTGGACGGCTGCTACTGTTGCTTTAAAATCTCAGAGGCGTCAGTCTTGAGCTAACAACTGAGCAGCATGTTTATCATCATCTGCATTATGGAAGTCAGACAAATGACTCAAACACATTCCACTTATCAGACAAATCACTTGCCATTTAAACAGCCTACGGTTTGCCTTGTGTCACATTCTTTATTTGGAGGGTAAATGCAATCCTCACCTCTTTGCCAGTGAGGACGTGCTTTGCCAGTTTGACCTTGGCGAAGTTGCCTTTGCCGATGGTTTTCAGGAGCCTGTAGCAGCCGATGTGGGGCTGCTCATCTGCTGTGGAGTGGGGCATGTTGCAGCGCCCCCCGGGCTTTGAGTCGGAGTGAGACTGCAAAGGGAGAGAGAAAAACAGTGTAGGCCAGTGTTTGTTTTTTCCAACTATTCCAGACCACAGTTCTTCACCTGGGAACGGTTATGAAGGTTGAACCTAAACGCACAGATGGGAGGTTTGCAGGGCAATGCTTTAATAATATCCTTATCAAAGCTCGGGTGATTCTGATTGGATAGGACTGTCGCCAGTCGCCATCTGATTTTCACACTAAGCAGACATGCAGAGGGAGGCAGAGATGAAGAGTGAGGTAGAAAACGGAAGAGACCGTGAAAAAAGGAGATTAAGGATGTACCAAAATTTCGGCAGAAAACAACATTTTCATTGCCTGAAAGAAAAAAAAACAGGCAGAAAATCTTGGCCAAAAATGAGAACAGAAACTACATTGACATCCAATAAAAGAACCATTGACTTGAAAAAAAAAATCTGATTACATGGTTCGGGTTTCATTTAAGTAAACAGCAGCTGCTGATGGATGACATATTGACAGGAAAGAGACAGACAAGCACAATGTTTAAAGGGGTCATATGATGTGATTTCAATTTTTCCTTTCTCTTTGGAGTGTTACAAGCTCTTGGTGCATAAATAAGATCTGTAAAGTTGTGTAGCGTCTGGAACACTCCAACACACAATATATATTTTGTTAGCTAGATTTCACAAATACTTTGTAACACCCCAGGACGCCGAACAAGACCCTGGTTTCATGGTAACCCGATACATTTACAACCTTGTGGAATGCGAGCCGGCTCTCATTCTGCTTTCTCCAGAAACAAGGGGTACAAATGCACAGGAGAAATGGACTGTTCTACTAATTAATTCATAGGAAAACCTTTTCTTTGAATGAACACACATTTTCTTCAGGCCATTGTGTGTATTATTGCTGTTTTGTATTAATCTGTTGTATTATAGAATATTTTTATTCGTGCTTACGATAAACCACTCATTCAGATAACCTTACATATAGCTTGTTTAGTATCTATGAATTCGCCTTCTGATGACCTAAACAAGAATGTATATTATTTGTTGGTACGTAGGCAATATATTAGTGTTGCCACAAGCCCTCCGGACACTCCTCCGTCGAATCCGCCGGCCGTGCTGTTCTCAAGCCTGCCGCCTCTGCTCACTCTAGGCCACTGTGTGTGATGCTGTGTTTCGTTGTGAAAGCGAAACTACTTTGTTTGGCCTTCCAAAAATGGACACGACTAGAAATCAGTGGTTAAGTTGTATTTACAACACTGTTACAGAACACTTCAACCCAAATATTCTGATGTGTGCAAATTTTTATGGAGGACTGTTTCCTGATCCTGGTAGAGTAGACTACAATGCCAGCTGTTCTGACTCACAGACTGTAAGTACATTTTTTTATATTTAAAGAGAGTTTTTTGGGCAGTGTAGAATAGGGCTTGTTGTTTCTCCGATCACAAATGCAGACATGGTTTTATGTTTACGCGGCGCGATGCAATACAATGCAATGCAATGCGTAAAAAGACAGTATAAGTCATTATAATCCATAATTATGTCCCCACTGGATGCAATGAATGCCTCGTTTATAATGGGTTTTCATGTGTTTGAATCATCACTCCGGCCTGACAGGGCATCATCACAGTATGGTAAGGGACGTAACATTTCCGTCACAAGCTTGAGGTTTTCGGCCAATCACAACACACTGGATAGCTGGCCAATCACAGCACACCTTGCTTTTCAGACCGATGAGCTTTGTAAAAATCTACGCTTTTCAGAAAGGCGAGGCATAGAGGAGAAACAATAATGTACAGTAAAAATACAAAAAAACAGTAATACTATAAAACAGTATTACCATTTAACATAACCTTTCTATTTTAATGTATAATGTAATGTATTCCTGTGATGGCGAATCTGATTTTTCAGCAGCCATTAATTTAAGTCTTTAGTGTCATATGATCTTGGTCATATGACCATAACATCTTAACATAACATCATAACACCTTGGTCTTTAAGAAATATTTCTTATGCGGTTTACAATTTTGTGTGAAGCTTGATACATTTTTTCAGGATGTAAAAAAAAAAAAAACAGCATTTATTTGAAAAAAATTAGTTGTAAAAGTCTTTACTGTCACTCTGGGTAACTTAATGCATCCTTTGTGGAATAAAATATTACTTTCCTTCCAAAAAAAAAACCTTCCCTGTATATGACATTCAATGTGTAATGTATAGTATTCAAAATTCACTACACCTGTTATTAAAATATACTTTTTCAAATTTAACAGGAAACCCAGGTATGACAGCTGCCATGCACTAATGACGCCCTTATTTTGAATAGTCTTTTTACAGTCAATATTTCAATGAACAACACTTTAATAATTGTGCTGTTTTTACACCCACACAGTACTTTACTACAAAAACAGCTCCAACAACTTTTAAAATATTGATTAAGTCTCTAAAAATGAAATAAATAATAATAATAAACAGAGTTTTAGCAATTCCAAACCAAGAATAGTACAAAATTAACACTTTTATAGTTTTGATTTTCAGACTAGTATTTCACTTTCAGCCTTTTCCATTTCAGTGCATCACCAGCAGAGTGGATGAGAAAAGAGAGAGATGGCTAATGTGTGATGCTGTGAATTTTGTCACAGGACACACAGCAGGCAAGGGAAAAAAAAGAGGATGCTGACTGAGTGAGAGAGCGAGTTCGACAACGGGGATTTCTCTTGACTGTTGTGAGGTACACTTGGTTCTTTCTGTGTTGATTGGGGAACAGAGCATCAATTGTGGCTTGTGCCCGTGTGTGTGTGTGTTAGTGCTGTGTTCGATACGACGATGTATCGTCAAAGAGATTTGACGATCTGGCCCTGTATCGATATTGTGGCACGTGTGCAGCAGTGGATCGCGCTTAATTTGAATACAAGAACAACGTTTAAAATTGAGCAGAAAAGTGCGCTTGCTTTCTGAAAACACCGGTTTTAGTTTTAGCTTGCAATTTAGCAATCTCCACTTCAATATTCTATTCTCAGAAAAGTGTAATTCATCAAGTGTTCATTTATGAGAGAGAGCGAGGCTGTGTATGTATGAATAACCACAGTTTTGCGTTTCTCTATTAACAGTGAAGCTGTGGCTTTAATTCCTTTAGAAACAACAATGTTACCAGCTCCTTGTTGAGAAAGATAATGTAGCTCTTGAGCGATTAAGCTACTTACGGGGCAGTGCTAAAAAGTTTGTTCCTGAATGTCGGAGTGCGCGTCAGTGTGACCGCAGCGCGATCTGTGTGAGTGACTAAAATCGTGTGTGCGTTAGATACAGAAGACTAGTTTAGAACTCTTCTAATTTTTTATTTTTATTTTTTAAACATAGAGAGTGTGTTAATTTGTGCAATGATAACCTACCAGCAATGAAAATATGATTTTTTAAAAATATATTAGAATGAGTACATTACAATATAAATTTATTAGAACGAGTACATTATTATTTATGGGTATAAAAACAAGATGCAAAAAATCTGAATATGTACCTGGTGGGGAGTGCCCAATGTAAACATGAAACATATGCCATTACCTATATTGTACTGTGGTACAGTTATGGAGGCCCTTCATAATGCAGAGGTCAGCTGCCTGCTCTGCCAATAGTTAGAAATGGCACTATAGTATGCAGTGTTTAATAAACAGCTGTTTTACTAAATTCTTCTGAGGTGAAATTCAGTGCAGTCCCGTATCGTGACACGTATCGTATCGTGGCCTCTGTATCGTGATATTATCGTATCGTGACTTTGCTGGTGATACACAGCCCTAGTGTGTGTGTGAGCTTACATTAGAGCTGCAGTCTGAGGACAGGCTGTTGACCAGTGAGGTGAGCACATTAACGAAAACAGATACTCAGTTGTCTGGATTGTCGCACATTTTCACAACACAGTTAATGCCACCATGTTCACATTAGTCCATATGATGCGTCTGTCGCTGAAGTCTGGTTTGTGTCTGTACGTCAGTGTGCTAACAGTGCCCTTTGTTTTCACAGAGCAAACATCTACAAAAACTCAATTTCAAGGCACCTAAAAAAGCACTGGACGAGGTCTGTGATTTAGTTTTGACGCATCTTCCTCATAACACACTCGTGAAGCCAGATGAAGTTACTTCACTCCTGCTTAACACACCCATCACTGTGAGTCAGTGGTTACTAAGAACATCAGTGATAAACTCTTAAGCACTATTTAAACATTACTCAATGCTCATAATGCAGAAAACTTCTTATTTAGTGTAGACAGAGAGAATGCAGCACAACAGTCAAAGATTTCACTTAGGTGAATTACAAAAACATCCTATAAACTATATGATACATATGCATATAATGGAGTATAAGTTACTTTTTTTTTTTTAAATGCATGTACATATATTTGTATATATATATACAAGTGCTGTCAAACGATTAATCACGATTAAGAAAAAATTACTTATGAAAAAATAACGCGATTAAAATATTTTAACGCAGTTAACGCATTGGCCCCACCCCCAGACCTGTACATCATCTTACATTTCATACAGTTCACTGTTTAACCCTCTACGGACACCTTGACAATTGAATTGCCATTGGCTAGTAATTTTTTTTGTTTACTCGCCAGACTGATATACAGTGGGTATGGAAAGTATTCAGACCCCCTTGAATTTTTCACTCTTTGTTATATTGCAGCCATTTGCTAAAATCATTTAAGTTAATTTTTTTTTCCTCAATGTACACACAGCACCCCATATTGACAGAAAAACACAGAATTGTTGACATTTTGTTAATCCTATTGATCTTATATTTAAAAAATGTACAAAAATCTAACCTTTCATTAAAGAATAAGAATTTAAAATGGGGGGGGGGGGGGCCCATTTTG